TGTCACGATGTTATCCAGTCCCACTCTGACACACTGTCACCAGTGTTGGCAGAGGGTGAAATGTGGGCAAATGATTTGTTTTTAAGTCAAACGGGAGCATACAAAAATTGGTGCTAACATAAGTTATCAACAATACCATGCACAAGTACAGATGAGTTAATTCAGCAAACATAAAACTAATTGCAAACATAAAATGTGCCAAATGGAGTTTTCTAGATGCAGATCTTGTGGAGATAGAGAATGTAATTGTCATCAAGAATTGTGCAGTAAGTTCAATTTTTGACGGAGAGGTTCTTAGCACAAAATAAAAAGTTCAGTTATGTTCACAGTCCACCAACCGTCCACAAGGTCTCCTCTAAATCAAACGGAAGCAGCTCCTGGCTGTACAGCTTGATGACTCTGCAGATCCTTTACTGCTCTGGTTTCTTTCTCTGGAAGGCTAAGACTTTTTTGTCTTGCAAAGCTTGTTTCTGGTTAATCTATCAGGAGTGTAAATTTGTTCAGTTTTCAGAATTCAACACAAACACAAACCCTGCCATTCAATTAAATATAAGTGTTTAAATTTAAAATACCTTCTACCTTTGTATTTTGCTGTGCTTGTCTTTTTAGTGCCTAAATATGGTTTGTTCAATTGTTCCTTCTCCTTCCTCTGCACTAGATTCCATTTGTTAGGCCTTATTAACAGAGGTTCCTATGGGGGTGGAGTGGGTAAATGGTTTAGGGGCCCCTGAGCTGGATAGTGACCCTGTATTGTGCCAGAAATTAGAAATATTTTTGTGTAAAGGCAATGTTTTTACTGTTGTCAGAATGCCCAACATTTCTACAAGTGTCACTGTTTTCATTAGTGCAAATGCATTTCAGTGTCAAACTACAGGATACAACAGAAGTGAGCAAAGTCCTGTGCAATATGTTTAATGATTCAAAATTGCACCACCTCTTAATTGAATTATTCATAAGCTAAGAAGAATAGTATTTCCTCTTATCAGCAATCAAAAACAAATACTTTAGAAAGACTATATTGAAAATACAGGCCGTAAAGTTGAAACTCAGCGCAACAAAAGTAAATCCACCTGTGATCACTGATGTACAAGTTAGAAAACCTGTGATCACTGAAACAACATTGAGTTTTCCTGTGATTTCCAGTCACCTATCTGCATGAACATAAAAAAGAATCTGTGACAGAATAATCTTCTCAGTTTTGGACCCATGGACTGTCAGCATCATGACTTTACATGGTAAAGAACTGCCAGAAGAACTGGAAAATCAGATGTTTGCTTCCACAGAGATGAACAAGCATATAGGAAGATCAGTGACCGACTGAGAATCACTCAAAACTCAGTTGTAGCAGTAATGGTGGAAGTATAGAATGAGCCACAGTATCACTAATCAGAGCCTCAGTGGCTCCTCCTAGAATGATTTGGAAGTTGTCAATGGAACTCAGTGACAGCTTAGATAGGATGAAAGACATTGCATAGCATCAACCTCTATAGACGGTGTCAAAGGGGAAAAAAACAACAACCTTTGCTCACTCTTCGGCACAAAACTGCAAGATGAAACTTTGCTCAAGACCATGAAAAGCACCCGATTAAAGTTGGAAGCACATTTTTGGTCAGATAAGACCAAGATAAATGTATTCATTTCAGATGAGATCCAGCATGTTTGGAGTGAACCTGATCAGGACTACCACAGTGAATGCACAGTCCCAACAGTGAGGCACAGAGGTGGGAGTGTGGTATTATGAGGCTGCATGAGTGCAAACGGTGTTGTGGAGATGACATTTATAGATGGCATCATGAATGTCTGTGGATATGCCAAAATACTGACTGACAGGATGACAGCCTGCAGAAGCTTGGCAGAAAGAGAAATATTTCAGCATGATAACCATCCAAAGCACATTGTCAAAACTGCATAGGAGTTTCTAAACAAATAAGTGAAAACTGTGACCTTGACAAACATGTCACCTGAGATGAATTCAAGAGAACACATTTGGGGTATTTAAAGAGAAGGATGCAAAACTGTCTCTAAAGAGTGGTAGACAACTCTCCAGAAATGTGTACTAGGAGGATTAATTATGTCATTAAAATTAAAGGAGGGCATATAAAATACTGAAAGAATGGATTTGAATCTCAATAATGATGTAATAATGTACCATAAATTCCAGACTATAAGCTGCTATTTTTTTTTTTACACGCTTTGAACACTGCGGCTTAAACAACAATGCTGCTAATTTAGGGAGTTTTATGAATTTGCCTCGAGACGAAAGTGACATTGAGATGTTAAATTACAAATGTCACACCCTATATAATGCACTCAAAATATCCCACAATATACCGGGAAAAGTAATGTACAGCCAATGGTCACTAGCCAAGCAATATGAGCCATCGTGCATTGCGTGAAAGGAAACTAGACGAAGGAGAGCGTGAAAACTGGACGGAGCGGCTCCTTCAGGAGACAGCGAGAGTGAAAGTTTTGAGTGTCTTGTCCATCCCAGACGTTCATTCTGAAAACCTTACAGCTGAGAGACTTTGCTGAACATCAGGGCAATGAATGTTACTGAAATTGCGGTGGCTGGTTGGGATTTGGACATATTACGCCAACACAGAGTCCGATCAGAGACTACACCGACAGTTACCTGAGAGAGAGGGAAGTGCAAGCGGTACGAATGTAAACAAAAGAGGAAGAAGAGAGCCGGGATCCATGCCAGGCTAAAGACTAACCCCTCCAGACCAGCAGGACCATCCTCCTACTCTCTAATGTCTGCGCCCTCGACAACAAGCTGGACGAGTTACGTTTCCTGAGAGAAACCTGCAGAGAGTGGAAAGACTGCTGTGTGTTTGCTTTTACAGAAACATGGCTCCATGACAACATCCCAGACGGCCATACAGCTGGAGGAGACGACATCGTTCTGGGTGGGCAGACAGGCAGCTAGCGCTGAACTTTTCCAGAGCCTCTACAGGAGCAGGACACTGAACATTGTCAGGGACTCCTCACACCCTCTCCATAAACTGTTTGAACTGCTGCCATCAGGAAAACGTTTCCAGAGCAGGGAGTGAGAGGATGATGTCTGACCCAACCGAAATAATTCTGAGGCTGTTCAATTCCGACACTGAAGAAGACGACTTGAGTGGTTTCAGTGCGCAGGAGGAAGATGAAGATAGTGATCAATATACGGAATGTATTTGTGTATGTTACCAGTTCGTATTAACTTAAAAGCTTAAAATCTTTCTGTGAAACATCTTTCTTTGTAAATATCTCATGCTACAATGTGGACACCTGCAGCTTACAGACAAGTGCGGCCTATATATGTACAAAATTTGTTTTCTTTTTAAAGTTAGTGTGTGCGGCTTACCTTCAGGTGCGGTCAATAGTCTGGAATTTACGGTAATGTCCCATAGAGGTCCTACTGTGGGACCAGTAATTTTAATATAGTGAATCTAAAGTTTTAGTTTTTAGTTTCACAGAAGACCAAATACCCAACTGTCAGAAATGATGTAATCTTGAGAAGAAGATTGTGATCCTTGTAAACATGTACTTTGAAAGTCCAGAAAGCCTACAGTGAAAAATAAATACTATACAACACTCTCTGTTTGCTCTGTATTTTATTTTTGTACAGTTGTACTCAGATCACTTCATATAATGAGGTGAATATGATCAAAATGCACCAAATATGTGGCATAGACATATTTGAACAATCCATTGTAAACACATCTTATGTTGATGAGTGTGTGTATGTGTGTTTGCACTTGTATTAGTGCTGTGGGGACTACACAGGCTCATTGTGAGGACTTGCTGTCCTTTAGGGACAAAGAGCATAATTTAAAAAATAAAATGTTAAAGTGTAAAAGGATAAAAATAACAAGGTAATTAGTCAATATTTCTCATTTTCCCTCCTTTTTTAGTTAATTTTCCCTTAAAAAAAACAAACAAAAAAACAATCTCTATTCCAAAATGTGCTGTTTTGTTTCTGTAAGCACATAATCTTATTGATTATGCTGGGCCATAATTCTGTGTTGTTTGAGGTACCGTTGAAACACTGTTGGCTTCTTCATGTTGGGTCAAAGGGGCTGTTCGGGGTTCATTTGCAGCCAAACAGCTGGTTGGATTGCTTTGACCCAGCTGCTAGTTCTTTTATTTTTTTCAGCTCTTCCATTGTGGAACCCTCCAGAAGCTTCTCTGTTTCTCTGTGTTTGATTCACACAACACACAGTGGGCAGGATTTTATGTTAGGCTAGAATAATTGCTTGACTGATAATTCTAATAGTTTGTGGTAACAGCCTAATCTTAAAGTAATTTCATTGTAAAAACAACATCAACAACAACAAAACAAAACAAAACAATAAAAGAAAAAAGAAAATACATTCTGGGATCATGATGGTGGTGGGTCACCTTTTTTTTTTATTACTCTTGTTAGCAATATTTTATTACACACTTACAGCTAACTTTAACAAACAGGCATAATGATAACAACTATATCTGGAGCCCTGTTGAATTCTGAAATCGAGTTTAATCACCTGGTTTTATAGTCGATCCTAACCCTGGAAAAGCATCCTCCTGTAATGCAGGCACTGTAATGCTTCTGGTTCCATCCCATCGTGAGCCAAATGTGAGGTTAGGTTGGGTTATTATTTTTTTTTTTTAAGTCAGCAGTTATTTTACACACACACACACACACACACACACGCACACACACACACACACATACAAATCAAACGTGGCTTAAGGCACGAATGTTATGAAACTCTTACTAAGTAGTAAAAAAAAACAACAAAAAATAAATAACAAAAAACAAACAACAAAAAAAAAGCACCACGCATGGCAGACTCAAATCAAACACGATAGGTTTGTCCTAATGACATGCGCTTTTAATTTGCGGGTTTTTGTTTGTTGTTTTCTTTTTACTTCAATCAACTCCAGCCCTGTGACGTCACAGACTTTCCCTGCTGTGCTCGCGCTCTCTCCCTCTCCGCCTCTCGCTCTCTCTCTCTCTCTCTCTCTCTCTCTCGCTCGCGCTCCCTCCGCGTGAAACAAAGTGTGGTGTCCGCGAGAGCCCGTAGGAAGCGAAAAGAGAGAAACCGGAGAAAGGAGAGAATGGGGCGGCTGAATCCAAAACTACACCAGGAATAATAACTACACAGAGATAAAGACGACTGAAGACGGGGGGAAAACTCGGAGGAAGAAAACTTTTCAGAGGGGAAACTGTTACAGACTCTCGCACGGCCACGGTTTAAAACATGGATACACTTTTCCCTGTATTCCTGGGACTCTTCTTTCTCTTTTCGGGAGTTGATAACGTCTCCGGCCAAATACCGACAGGTAAGTGCCAATAGACGATAAAAAAGGACGCTTTAGGGTATTTTAATGTGGTGAAGGAAAAGTTGAGAACACTATTTCATTCTCGGCGTTTGCGCACGAATTCCTGACAGGTGTGTTTAGGTGGAGGAGAAAAGTTAGCCTCCGTGCTGAAAATGTGCCGTCGTGCCTGTTTTATCGCTTCCAGGCATTTTTTAAATGATGTCGGATGTGAGATGGACCTTTTTGTGGATTGAAGATGTTTTTTTGTCGCTCTTAAAATATGTAATGGCCCCTTCGATGTCTCTAAGTCTTATTTAGGCCAGTGTGAGACTGCGCTTGTTTAAATTCAATCTGTTTTCCCAGTAGGCTGAGCTTTACCTGTACAGATGAGTGAGGCTGACCCGGTGCACGGATCGTACCTTAAACATCTCAAACTAAGTTGCTGCATTTTTGTCTGCCTCTTTATGTCGCATCGGAGCACTTCTGACCGGAGAGTTTCTTCCGAAATCTAGAAAACATAGTCTGATTTAGGGACAAAACCCCCCACACAAATCATCTGCAAGTATCCTGGAATAGATGCAATGCACCGGGATACTGCTTATTAATACAACAGGGCTACTTTGGGCACAGCGGACAGTCTGAATGTGGGGAAACATCGTCCGTCGTTCAGTCTCCCAAGCAGCACACGAATGAAGAAAAAGTTAGTGCTCACGGAGGTTACAGTCTAACTATAATATCCATGTACTATGTCAGTGATGACTTACAGATATTATTTGTATTGCAGCGATCCTGCACTTTGTGCTGTTTCGATTTTGTTCTCTGTGTTACGGCATTCAAGGACGTCTATTCGGACCTTTAGTGCATGGACAGCAAGCTGTTATTAATTTGCCATCATCATGTACAGTCCGTGAACTTGTATTTTCTCGAGGACTGTTCCTCTTTCACGATCCCATGCTCGCTTTGGTTCGCTCTGTGCAGACCAAACGACCCTCTTCTGCTCCAACTTTATTCGCTCTCCACGCAATAAGAGCCAGTGGCTGGAAATAAAGCCTCTCCGCCGATCGCCTGTTGATAAAGGGAAATTGTTCTACATCGCGTCGTTTGACTTATAAATAAAGATGTAGAGGATCGGTTACTTTTTCCTCTTCGCTCAATGTGTGAAACGATGTGAAATTTCTTTTGATTTTATAGAAAGCTGCAAGACAGAAAGCCTGGAGTCTAAACTCTGAATAGTCAGTTTAATTACGTGCGTGGCCAGTTATTAGAAAATGAACTGGCCGTAACTTTACATTTTATAGGGATCCACGGTTAATTTCTTCAGATCGTCTACCGACCAAACTTTACACAGTAATCCGCATCGCAAAGTGAGCCTCAACAAGCCCTTTTTGTCGGTCTCGTCAGAAACACGTAGCGTATGCACTGTTCAGAAACGGCTGCAACAGCTCCACTCGGTGATCTACGGGACAATGCTTTTGCAAAAACGTCCCCGAAGCAAACTCAGGGAAGTTGTTCTGCAGCCGTGTTCTCAGAGCAGGAGTGATCGGAGCCGGAGAAAACAAACTCCTCATGTTTTCTGCAGCTCTCTGCAGCACTCCATACCTGTTCTCTGTTGGCGTGGCCGCTCGCTGCGCGTTTTATTTCCGCATTCAGCAGTTGTTCGCCTCTCAACTCCGACGGAGAAAGACTGAGACTCGCACAGCTGTTTGAAAGCTGACCTCCAACATCACACAAAAGCCACAAGGTTGTATTAGGGGACACATTACGGTCCAGTTCTATGCGGGAAATGATCAGACATAGTACAAAAACGTAATTTTCTGCTCCAGTATTCACATAGGCCTGTTAATGATTTGCATTGAAATTACACATTAATTCCAACTGCATCTGAGAACGTTTTTATTGCCCCCGTCTTTCACCCCTTCCCCACCCTGTCCACCATAGCTATCCCCCTCTTCCCCTCCCTTGAGGCCATTTGGTCCCTCAGGGTAACAAATGTGTGGAATTTCTTTGAGGCCTCTTTGGGAATTGAGTGCTGTTAATTTGCAAGTAAATACTAGTGACTGGATGCTGCTTTACCAAGCGCGGGACATGGGCTATCATTAGTGTGGAAAAAAGCTAGAAAAGAGAGCTTGTAGTTCCTTGCTTTGCAGTGCATGGAGTGCTCATTTATGAATAAAAGCTAGCAACAGTGAGAATAATTTTATTACAGCAGATGCAGGTAAAAGGACTGTTTTATTCCCATACACATACGCATGTTATAGACATCCATCTGTGAATGTCCATGCATTTTTGAAACACTTCAAATTCTTTAAATACTCTAAAAGGCACAATTTTAAATGTTTAATTTATCAGTCATAGCAAGACCTTGTGTCTTGTGCAATGTAGTTAATTCAACAGCTTTGCCTTTTAAAAAAAAAGTGACAGGACTGTAATCTGATAATTTCAATAAAATATCTAACTGGTGAGACTATCAGTAGGCAAATAATTAATGCAGCCAATATGAGCTGGCATGAAAAAAAATGGTAATTATTAGATCAAATGTCAATAATGTGGGAAGTGTGTGTTTGGGTGCTGCAACAGCATTGCACTCGGTCATTTACAAGGACAAGAAATATCAGTGACAGGCATTTAAAACTGTCCATCATGCATTAAGAAGTCATTTTGAGTCTGTGCTAAGATGTATTTTCTTTAAATTTGTGTAATTTCCATTTTATCTATTCCAGCTTTCCAATTAGAAAGTCAAACCATAATTTAAGGCATTTATATAAATCTGCCTCTTTCTTGCTGCCTCTTATCATGCTGTTTTGTACAGCTTTGTTTTGGCTAATCACTCACAAAGTCAGTAATAAATGTGAACGAGCGCGTGTCTTGCTGTCTTTACAAAGTCAGTAACTGAGTTTATGTAAATTTGACAACTTTCTAAATCTGTCTCCTCTCTGATCGAGTTGTGACACAGATTCCAGGCGTCTTTAATCTTAATGAAGTGAAATAATTGTTTTCCATCAGTTTCTCCAGAAGAATTAGAGGGCTGCCGCTGCCACTGAACACAACATCTGAGCTGGTTTAATTATAATTGTAAATTATTTTAGTATTTTGAACATTAGAACCAAGTTGGTTTAATTATAATTACTTTTCCGCTCCATTTAGAAGATGAAATAAAATTGTGTGTTTTAATAGAAAAAGGCGAGAGAAACAGAGTGATAGTGGGGGGAGGAGAGGAGGAGGGGGAAAAAAAACAAGAAACCATTGGTTTTTGGCCGTGGGCATCTCCTCCACTCAAGAGACTGTGAAACCGGCAGGGGGGGGGGAGTGTGTGTGTGATTCACTGTGTGTGTCTGTCATGTCTTGTGTAAGTGTGTATGGTGCAAATGTGTGTGTCAGCTCATGTGTTTTGCTGTCACTTAAAGAGAAAGAGGGAAGCCGATGCTTTCAAGCCCTCCGGAGTACAGTGGTACAAAGAGGAGCATCTGAAATGTTTGCCTCTCATTTAGATTCATGTGAAAATGCCTGCTCATTCTACTCATGCCATGTAAAATGGCACCAAATCAAAGGCAGTTTTATTTATTTTCTCGTTAAAAGTAATGCCTCAGTCTGCAGTCCTTCAGATCCATCTTAATGTCTTCTCCTCAAATCAAACATCCCTTTGCTCACAGCCAGTGTGTTTCTATGGATTTCAATTTAGTGATAGATTTATAAAATCCATCTCTTTTAAAGTACTGGCTCATTTCTTTAGCTGTTGGGGGATGAAGTCTGTAATATGTAATTAATCTGTTGAGAGAATTCATTAGCTAATCCCTCATTAGACTGCGTGCGTGTGCGTTTCAGAATGAATGAATTTGACGGTTTGTGTTGGAAAAATGGATTAGCGACACATAGTGGCAGTGCAACCTGCCTCTTGTTTAAACAGTAAGATGGGTGAGGAAGACTGAGAACTTGATTGACAGGTTGTGATTCAGGTTTCCACACAATATGGTTTTTTAAGTATGTACTGTAACAGGTTGGCATGCTAGAAACTATTATTCCTTTCTGGAAAAGTTGCACAAGTTTAAGGATTTTTTTTTTCTTCTAAATTCCGCGAAATGAAATATGAGCAAGTACATGTTTACTTCCGCTTTATGTGAACCCATTCAGTAGGATGTGACATGAGTGTTAAACTTACTGAGCCCCATTAACACTGACAAATCATGGCATTTAACTGCAGTTTTTGCCATCAAATGACTCCATTGTTAACGACTCCCTTTAGCTGCGTCTAACTGAATTGGTGCCTTCCAAATAAGATGGTATTGGATTGGAGTAAATAAGTCTCTTCTGATCTTTGCCACACCTAGAGAGAAACAAGAAGTGTCTGCCTGGACTTGAACCAGGGACAGAGCAGTGAAAAACAGCTAGGACACACCCATTCTTTTTATTCTTTATTTGTTGAGCATTGTGTTGGATTAGAAGCTTGTAACAGGGAGTGGAAGCAGGGCATGATGTTTTGTACTGAGAAGCAGAACTAAGTAATCCAACACCAAGGTGTGTTTAAAAAAAAAAAAAAAAAAGTTTTCCAGTAGCCTTTACTGCTCCTTCACTGTTTTGACAATGAAACCTTTACACGCAAGCTGATATGTAGTATACCACTTTTGCTTCAGAGCATATTGGTGCATCTACTCAAGCATTCTGTGTGCAATTTGAAAATTTACACAAAACATGTGGGTAGAAGTGCACCTAATGTTGTGGTCAGGATTAAACTTTAGATGCTGCTTCATGATGTGTGTAAATCATCAGTCAAGCAAGCAGGAAGTGAACCAAAAAAGTGATAAAGTTCCACTGGAAATGAAGACAGGCAACGCACCCAAAACAAATCCCAAATCCCTGCAACATCACATCCCTGATAAATGATGATACTAGTCCAGTATCATCAATCTCTGCTCTGCCCTGTTTGGCTCTGGTCACAGCTGTTGGTGCAAGAGGGCCTTGAAAATCACTGCTGCCCCACACACATACACACCCTTATACACATGGCTGGCTAATGACAGATTAAG